CCGGGGCTTTTACTGGGCCCTTTGCCAGGGGAGGCTTTAAAAGGGTACATGCACATGCCCAGCTTTCACTCTCACATCAGGACGTCCCAAGGGCATCGAAGCGAGGTGAGTTCTTCTCCGCTACGGGCCCGTTGTCTGTACCCCCCCACTTCCCTCATATGTCTAAACTGCCACAGCCCTCGGCTTCTTTTAGAGAGGCCTTCCTGCTTGGTACGATAACTTGAGAATGACACAAAGTCAGAGCACATAGTCAAACCGTGCTGATGTAAAGTCTCATTTAGTCGAATTCAGATGTGCATGTCCGTGCTTGTGGTGTTTAGTGTGTGTGTAAGACGTATGGGGTGTTGGTTTGTCATCACTATTATCTTTAGCAAAGTTTCATAGACTAATTATATGTTTAAACTGTAACTTTAAACTGTTTGTATCAAATTGCTCTTTGTTTTCAAGCCAACGAGATGACTCACCATTGCACCAAGTTCTCTGGCCATTGGAAGGTATGCTGTAAAAATCATTTTTCAGAATTTTTAAATGAAAAAAAAAAAGTTTATTAGAGTACATTTAACAAGAAAATACTATTTTAGTTTTTCTACTATTTTTTTTGTAATTGTTTGTGAAATTTACTAGCAATTTCGGAGTGAAAATTAATCAAAGTAAATACACCATTTGAATGAATTATATAATAGTATAAAGTATGAATTAATATTTTGCATTTGCTTTTATTTTTGTATTTTCAGTTTTCATTTTAATTGTAGCTTAAGTTTTAAAAAATGTTTCTTTAAATAAATCAAACAAAGATTATTCTACAAGAAGTGTATTTTACAAGAAAATACTATTAAATTTTTTACCCAGAAGTTGTAAATCAACTAAAAGTACATTTTACAAGAAAAAGCTATTTCAGTTTTTCCACTCTAAATTTTAATGTGCATTTCAGTGTGTTCTCTGCAATTGTTTCTGAAATTGACTTGCAATTTACAACAGACACCACATTTTTTCAGCATATGCTTGACACTCAACACGATCTCCAAAACAAGTTGTTGTTTTCCAGAGAATCTTACATAAGTCGGATTGTATAATGATTGCAAGTGCTCCAGGAATGTTGTTATCTGGAAGGTTTTGCTATAATTTGATAGTATAATTCCTAATATGTAACCGCTGGTGTTGAGTAACACTGCTGCTTTTATAGTGCTTCACATCCCATTTGGCCTTTTCCCCAACATGCAAGTCTTTAATTGTGCCCTTGAAATCTTTAAAGGCGCCCAACCTCTGTCTTCCAGATCATCGTGTACGACGAGGAGTGTTTCCAGGGTCGTCACCATGAGTTCACCTCCGAGTGCTGCAACGTCATGGAGTTCGGTTTCGAGAGCGTGCGCTCATTGAGAGTGGAGAGCGGAGCGTGAGTGTTTTCTCCAAACTCTTTGTCTGATAGTTTACGTAATTCCTGAGGCTTGTGCTAATTATCTCCACTAGCTGTGACTCCATGTCAGACAAAAACCATGACCTGACCCTTCACTCTCACAAAAAACATGCTCTATAAAGCTAAAAGCAACATCAACATGAGAGTTTAGGCTTCGATATTAGATTTTAGTGTGGCTCAAGTAAATCCGTCTGCTCAATTTGAGGTATCATTCATGTCATATCACAAACAGTGCAGAAGTTGGGGCTAATGGTTTGTTAAAATTACTAACCCTGAGTCTGAGCAATAGTAATCGTGATTCTTGGTCAGCAGGGGTTTTGTTTAACAAGCGTGTTCTTATTCCATGTGGCATTTTATTTATGTAATTGGAACAGGCAGGTCACTTAAGAACATGTTTTGATGTATGAGGACAGTCTGAAATGAAACATTCATGCACTTATCCACAAACTGATGCAATGGTGGTGATTTTAAAAACAGATTTCCTCGAAGATGTAAATAAAACAAAGATTATTGGAATATGTTTTTCAAGAAAATATTATTTGAGTTTTTCCTTCAAAATGTCATGTTTTTATTCGATGTGTGACATGCCATATCTTCGTAATTATTTGGGAAATTTACTAGCAAGTTTTGAGTAAACCATTTTTTGTGTATTATATATTCTATTAAAGTATTTATTAATATGCATTTGCTTTTATTTTTATATTTTCGGTTTTCATTTTAGCTTATGTTTTAGTAATTTTGTAGTGTGCTTTTGTCGTTTTTATTTTTTATATTTCATTTTATATTTCTTTTTTTTTTTTTCATTTCAGTTTTAGTTATTTTAGCACTTAAACTTATATTTCAGTTAGTTGCCAAGGCCTTTCTAATATTCTAAATTCTTTTAATCAAATATTTATATTGTACTTTATTTCAGCTTTATTTCAGTTAACAAAAAACATTTTAATAGTTTTAGTTTTAGTTAACAACACTGTAAAAACGTATTTTTCAATTGTAAAAACGTTTTTGATAAGATTACTGGAGTATGTTTTACAAGAAATACTATTTCAGTCTTTCTATTTCAAAAAATGTCATATTCAGTTTGATGTGTTACTTGTAATTATTTGTGTAATTTAACAATTTCTGAGTGAAATTAGTTTCAAAGTAAATCCAACACCAATTTCTGTATAATAGAGTATAATAGTGTATAATATTTTGTGTATATATATAATATTTTGCATTCGCTTTTATTTCTCTATTTTCATTTTAATTTTACCTTAGGTTTTAGTGATTTTGTAATAGGATTTTGTCATTTTTGTTAGTGTTTTTAAAGCTTTAATTTATTTTTTATTACAGTTTTTGTTATTTTAGTAACTTATTTTATATTAGTTAGTTGCCAAGGCCATGTTTTTTTCATCTAATATTTAAATTTAATTTCAGCTTTATTTTGATTAACTAAAAAGATTTTTAATAGTTTTAATTGTAGTTAATAATAAGATCATGGCACACAATTTCAGCTGAGGCTGCTGTGTTTAACCCATGTTTGTCTTCAGGTGGGTGGGCTACGAGCACACAAATTACCAGGGTCACCAGTTTGTGCTGGAGCGTGGCGAGTACCCTCAGTGCGATGCCTTTGGAGGAAGCAATGCTTACCACATCGAGAGAATGACCTCCTTTAGACCCATTTCCTGTTCTGTAAGTTCTCAAAGCTTTATCATCACTGACCCAACCTGCCTTATCTGACTCTTTTGCATTGGTTTTCTTTAACAATATTCACAATAATTTGTTGTTGATTGCATTTAATTCATATTATAACCATCATTTTTGGTTTGCATTGGAAAAATGCTCATTGGTTGATATAATTCCTCCCAGAACCACAGGGAGTGCAGAATGACCATCTATGAGAGGGAGAACTACCTGGGCCGCAAGGGAGAGCTCAGTGACGACTACCCCTCTCTTCAGGCTATGGGATGGTGCAACAATGAAGTGGGCTCTATGCGTGTTCAGTCCGGAGCGTGAGTATCTGTTTGGGTTCTTCTGTCACTTCTGTATCATTAGTCCTTTCACTTTTTTTGATCACCACTGTCTGTTCTTCGATCCGCGCGCGGCAGGTTTGTGTGCTACCAGTTCCCTGGTTACCGTGGATACCAGTACATCATGGAGTGTGACCGCCACTGTGGGGAGTACAAATACTTCAAGGAGTTTGGCTCCCATTGCCAGACCCCTCAGATCCAGTCCATCCGCCGTATCTAGCAGTAATGGATTTCTCCTCTCCCCTCTCCTTGCAAAAACTCTCATGCCCCTTTCTGCCCGATGCTAAATAAACTGTCTTTCTTAAACCTCACTGACCTCCTGTTATAAATCTGTGTCCAAAAAAGCACATTTACTGAAACCTCGAAGTAACAGTGAGGAATTTTGGACACTTTCAAACAAATGAAAAAGAATGGTGTGCCTTTTATTACAAATTGATTTAAAGTTTTTTTTTTTTTTTTTGTACTTTTAAGAGGGATAGTTCACCCAAAAATGAACATTCTGTCATCATTTGTTTACCCTCATGGTGTTGCAAACCTGCAGGAATGTCTTTTTTTCTATTGAACACAAAAGGAGATATTTTAAAGAAGGTTGGTAACCAAACAGCTGATGGTAGCCATTGACTTCCATAGTTTTTTACCCATACAATGGAGGTCAATGGCTACCGTCAACTGTTTGGTTACCAACATTCCTCAAAATATTTCTTTCGTGTTCAACAGAAGAAAGAAACTCATACAGGTTTGGAATAAGTAAATGATGACAGAAAATTCATTTTTGGGTGAACTATCCCTAGGAAATAAAATGCACTTTCACCCGTTTTCCGCCAGAGGGGGCAATAAACCTACAATCCAAATGATCACAAATAAGAAAGGCATGCAATAAATAATAATAATCAGGCTTAATGAGAGACAAAATTTCAGAACTCTCTTTTATTTGGAGAATAAACACGGTCCATAACATGAATTAAATATCATTGTTTGTCAGATTAAATCATATGACCAGGAATTGAAAGAAGAAGCCCAAACAAAAAAACCTGCACTATGCTTTTTTGCAGAATATGCATTGTTGATGGGATGCGCTTACACAACGATTTTTCTAGACTTTCCTACTATGATGTAGCCATGGGTTATGAATATTAATTACGTAATGTGACGCGCGCCAGTACTCCTAGCTGATTTGCTGAAAAGTGAGTGGGCGCTATTCAGACGGCAAATTAAAAGTCCTTCTATGGAGAACGTTTGACTAATGAATATTAATGAAGTAACGTGACTGGGCGCTTCAGGAAGGTTACTAAGCAACGTCAGCAGGATCTATTTATTATGCAAAACTCAAGCCTTCTCCGTAGTAGGCGTCGTAGTTTCGCGTACTTTGCGTAAATGAAATTAAATGAAAAGTTAAATGAAAATAAAAAAGTATAAGAAAAGGGTACTAAAACACAACTCGTTTCGCACTAAAAGTATCATTAAATAAAATGTAAATGAAATCAAGACTACACACACCTCAAAGCCTTTGCTTTACTGGAGTCCAGCTCCGCCTCGTCAAAATGTTCCAGTTCCTTGTTTTGTGACTCCAGCGCCGGGTTTTGTGTCGACTCGGCCGCTGGGAGGAAGTGTAGTTCTCAGAAGAGCCTGAATTTCACTTCACGACGCGCCGTGGGGCTCAGCTCACACACAAGCACTAAAACAAGAAAATAGTCGTGTATTCCCATTTGGATTAACCGCAGGGAAACCTCAAGAAGCAGTCTTTCCCGGAGGGCCTGAGCGGAGTCGGACTGGAGTGTTTTATGTGGACGGATATTGTGTTTTTGTTGAGCGATGTCGGAAGATATGAAGACTTGGATCTGCGACCCAAACACGGATGGAAAAGAAAAGAGTGGTGTCTCTCGGTAGTAACATCGAAAAATTTAAATCAGATGTCTTTTGGAGGAAAGTACATTTGAAACCCCTGAACGAAGCGTATTGGGGTTGAAAGCCCCGTCGTTTTGTTTTTCTCTCGAAACTCACAGTTTCGTCCATATAAACTTGAGTTTGAGACGCACAGCCATGCATATGAAGTTCCGCAAGATCTAGCGCAGAGATTTCAGGGTGAACTCTTTATTTTTTTGTGTTTTATTTACAACAAGATCACAGTAGCTGTTTTTTATGTATATTCCTGTCTTGCAGTTTCATCTGACCACATTTTGTGGCACCATCGCGACATTTTTTTTTTTTTTTTAGAAAAAGGAAACTCGGATTGCTTTCTTTCACATTTGCTTATTTCCTTTTCTAGCGCCCCCTCTCATCTGCAGGTTACAGTAGTGCAATATCTCAGCCGTTTTTTTGCTTAGAGCACACCTCTTGTTATATAAATAAATTGACGAGCAAGCAAATCCAGTTTAAGAGGAAAACTGCACTGCGCTGCACAAGGCAATGGACTTACCACATCTAAACGCACCGAGTTTAATTTTGGCCCTTTAATTGGCTTATAAAATACAACCAGCTTGGATCAGCAAGAGGAGTGACAGGCAGATCTCAACCATCGAACCACAAAAATAAAGAATTTGTTTGTGATAATACCAGGGTATTTACACATGCATATGCTGTTTAGATATTGAATGCTTTTTGCCTCGCATTTTTGGATGTTCAGGAAACAATCCAGCTGCCCGTGTCGCATCGCTAGCCATTATTTATGTTTCTCCAACCATTGGGCTTCAGATTTCCACCATCTTTCCGCCTTTTAAGAAGAGGAGGTTGCATGTTACCCTTATTATATGTCGTCTGTTTGCGTGCTGTCAACGGGTTAATGTGATTGAACAGGGAAATATCGGCGCATACTAGTCGTCCATTTTCATGCATTGGTGATTTGTCTGTTTTGCAGCGAGCTGGCTTGCTTTATTTTAATGCCTTAAGGAGATCGTCTTGTCCGCTCGTTTACGACTTAGGTTCTATATCTTGTTGGTTTTAAGGAGATTGCATCGTCGTTTTGATTTGAGTATCATCCATTTGTGACACCGACTGGCCAGCTTGCATGTATTTGTAGTTAACCATCCCGTTATTTCCATACATCTGCACGGACGGTGGCTCAAATGAACTTAAACGTCATTTTTGACGGTCGTTACACCGGCAGGTAGGTTGTTCGCGTTAAACTCACCCAAAGGGAGTGGGTGCTGGATGGGGGGCTCGATTAATCGATATAATCGTTATCACCATCTAGAATTATTATTTTGGGAATTTCCGGATTTTGAGGTGATGCCATGCACATATATTCTTCCTCTTTGAAACAAGAAGACATTTCTGCAACTCCAGTGGACATGAGGGTGATGTTGCTTCATAGATAAGAAACCTAGAGATTTTCCATGCGGAGTGTTTTTTTTTCCTTCCTTCTGCTTTTATCGTGTATTTTCAGCCACTATGGTTGATTTCTGAGGGGAAAAACCCGAAAAAGAAAAAAACCCCGGCTGGAATAGATGTACGCGCCTCTATCGCGCATCACCACCACCATCATCATCATCATCATCATCACCACGACAGCCCCCGCGCTCGTCTCGTGCTGAGTCCACCCGCCCGCGCGCGCAACATCACCGTCCCTTTACACGTCCCCCTCCTCCTCCTCACGGCTGGTTCTGGTACCGTTAGCGACTCGGTTCGACCCAGAGGGCTCGAAGATGGCGGACCTCGAAGCGGTTCTCGCCGATGTCAGCTACCTGATGGCGATGGAGAAGAGCAAATCGACTCCAGCGGCCCGCGCGAGCAAGAAAATCATCCTTCCCGAACCCAGGTACGTTAAGCGAAACGAGTCTGTCAGACAGTTAATTCACACACATTACGCTCAATATTGTGGTGAAGTGGCGGGTTGACATGTCAACATATTGAGTTATTCATTTCCACTTTATTTTGACTGAATATTCGTGTAATTTGGTGTTAAATAAGCGATTTTAAGTGTCCGTTAGAAATTCCCTGTCACCATCCTCAGCAATGGCCTCTCATGTAACTACACACAGGGTTTGCTGTTTACTGCTTTCTTTCGCTTACAAAAACACCAGAGTATTTCTAGACCAGCTACTTATGTTTATTTTTGGAGATATAGCTGACTAATGCTATTTAATTACCTAAATACGCTGGTATGAATATGGTAATTAGGCCCGTACAGTATCAAAGTACTGACTAGTGCTATCGTGGTAACACTACAGTACTTTTTGTAATGTAAGCGTTGGCTAAATCCTAATTATTTTGTTAAAAAGCCAATGTCACACATTTTGTGCTGTGTTTAGTGTTTTTGAGGTTGTTCGGCAGTTACTGAGGCCTGCTGGGAAAATTCCCCCGTTTGAATCAATGGCTCTTATCACCTGTAGATTTGCACCGGCTTGAGGGTGATATTCACTGTAAACAGGTCGAAATTCTGACATTGCCTTTACATTTGTGCTTGCATACTCAATAAGGCATACAAATGCCCTTTGTTGGGGTTTCGTGTGACTGTTTTAAATCGTTAGACCTTGGAAACGTCGAAGCAGACAGTATCTATTGTATTGGAGTATAAATGTAATATGTTCAGATGGTGAATGTTGTTTCTACTACCTCGTACCAGTTAACTTTTTAGTTTGTGATTGTTTGTCTTGATTATAATTTTTTAGTGTTTTTAACGTCTGCTTTCAAATGGTAAGCAATATGTTTACAATTTAACCCCCTTTTTTCTACACAGACCACATATATTCACTATTTGTTTTCATTGCCTTCGAAATGCACATTGTTTGGAGGACAACATTGGGCAGGATGTGGAATAACAACTTTGTAAATAACGATTTAATATTTTTGGATTTTTTTTGTCCAATTAATCAAAGAAATAATCAACCGGTTAATCAAACCCCCTTTTTTCTACACAGACCACATATATTCACTATTTGTTTTCATTGCCTTCGAAATGCACATTGTTTGGAGGACAACATTGGGCAGGATGTGGAATAACAACTTTGTAAATAACGATTTAATATTTTTGGATTTTTTTGTCCAATTAATCAAAGAAATAATCAACCGGTTAATCATTCATTAAAATCATTACATAAGAATGTATTGGTCATCCATTTATGTCCGATTGAATCAGTTCATGCACATAATCCATTTCATATTAGCTAGACATTCAACATACTTGCCCCTCAGAAAGTGAATACAGGAATCTGATGGTGTCTAGAAGTAGTAAACCTATATTAAACATAATTAGGCTTAAAATATTGTTAATTATGGTCTTTGTTGTAGTTTATTGTACCCGTCCTCTTGGATATCATGTGAGGAGTCCCTTGTGTGTATTGGAGTTTTCTTTTCTTTTTTAATTTTATGGTCACGGTCCAAAAACCGTAAAAGTGATAAACTGACTATGCTGTCACAGTTTATGTAGTTATTTGGCCGTTACTACCCCATTGGGTGACTGAGCACTGTAAATATTATTTAGACCTGCTTTTGGTAACAAACCGAGGCCCAAGAAATAGGAAATGGTATTTCATATTTCAGAGTTTGCTCATCTCATTGGATCACTATGGTGATACGGCTGTCAGTTTACAATGTAAAGCCTGCAGTTCAACACAAAGCTTTTATTGTACGGTTTACACAAGCATGTGTCTCGGTATAGCCTGCGCATTCGTGGAATTGCAGTAGTTGGAATGTTTTTAAAGTTTATATAATGCTTAAGAGTGATTAGTGATCTCTTAGTGTAGCTGCAAGTTTTGTTGTCATGTAAACAGATAAGACTAGTTAAAAGTGCACAGGAAGCAATACATCCCTTTCTTGGAAATATGGACTATTAAGGCCATGTTTAGACTTTTCCTCAGCATGTTATGTTATAGTGTTTCCCATTAATTACATAGACTGTGGCAAAGGTTTTACTCTTGGAAGTGAAGAAATTAACATTTTGGCAAAAGGTCTATTGTAAATTGTCAGTAGTGTAGAGATGTGCGAAACACAGCTCACGCAGAAGTAAAACTAGACGGCTTTCTGTTGGTCATCACGACAAATTTTTGTGAACAATTTGACTCTATTGCGAAATCTTCTTGGGGAAATCTTTCGCTTTCATTCGAAAATCCTGATTGTGTGGAATCCTATTGGAATGACTGGATTTCACCTGTGAAAATGTGCATAACAACTGTAAATGTGACCACAACTTCACAATAGTAATGTATTTCTGTCTTTGGTATAATAATATTGTAAAATTACTAATATATTCAAATTCTTTGGCTGCACATTTGCAATAGTAATATTTCTGTCTTAGGAATAATAGTAATGTAAAATTATTGTTGTTATTCAAATTGTCTGGCTTCCTAAAAACACCAATCTGAATGTGATGTGGACTGAGTCGCAACCAAAATGATTTTGGTTTGAGTCCACTTTAAAGTCCAGCTACAAGTCAATGTAAAGACTTTACTCTGTTCAGTATGGTCATTGAAAAAGTGTTGGAGCACCTAGTTTTGCTTCCGGATTGATGCACCAAACATTAAAATGTACCACCCTCCAAAAGCTTACAAACTTTTGTGGGAAACACTGGTATAGATTGAATAATTTTGTTTAACTTGTTGCTTTAATTGCTTGTTAAATATGAATTTACATGCATTAACCTACGTGTTCACGACTATTTTTAGCATGGTAATAGAATTTGAAATAGTGCCACCTTGAGCTTTAAAGATTTTTTTGTTGACGTGATGGTTGTAAAACCTTGAACCAAGAATATCTTAAGTGCTCAGTTTTATTGCTGACCTGCCAATTATTTATAGAGCTTGTCCTTAGTGATTGTCACCTATGTAAACATAACATATGATCCTGCAAAAGCATTCAGCTAGCCGTTTTTAAAAAGTCTTCTGTGAGTCGGCCAGCATTAGGACACAGGCAGAGTAAACTCACGGCAAGATTCATTTATGGTTAATCATCTTCCTTCCTACGCCAAGGCTAATATAACGTCTCTCCCTGGGCTGAGATGATGCATGTGCCGGTGGGCTATTTAGCTTCCCCGGATGATGTGCTAATGCACGGTACGAATCTGAAACGATAACAGGGGTTGGCTTTTCCTTTCGGCAAAGTGGTAAGCCATACATCTGCTCCTCATTATTAGTCTGCTTTAGTGGCTCTGTTTGTTCTGAGGGATTACTGTAGTCCGCAGTAGGGCGGCATCACCTCAGATCGAGTGAAAGCATTAGCTGTTAACATCAGTGTCCCCATCATTAGCATTATTACGGGATACAAAAGCCTCATGCCACTCCCAGCTGCACCTTCAGACTAACACTGTCGTTTAACGTCAAACTCTTCTTGTGACGTTCAAGCACTTGTTTGTTGTTGTTCAGTAAGCATTTTTAAACCTCTGTGGTGTAAGAGAACCGTATCAATATCCCATATTGACAGCAGAAATGATCCAGTGTGCATAAAAAAGCATAAGCTGATGGTACAACAAAGGCGTTTGTTAATCAATAGAAGGTATTTATTTTGTCCTTTGCCGGCAGAGAAAGTAGTGGTGGAGAGAGATGGCGCGGCTCTGCTACATTCTCCTTGGGCCAGTCGTGAGCCCGCTGGCAGAGAGGTGAGATTTTGACAGCATGACTGGAAGTGTTTGAGGAGCTGGCGGGATTGTTTGACAGCAAGACGAGTGGAAGAGACTGGAGATTGTTTCAGTCACGTAGACATTGGACCGTGGGATGGAACTGATGCGATTGCAGACAGAGAAAGAGATGAATGTGTCTGAATCCTGAGAGAGACAGGCAGCGAGGGGTCACGCATGTTGTGGCTGAATGCAATATCTCCTGCACGGGTGCAATCCTGCATTTTAAATTGAATCCATTAGTCAGTGGTTTTGAACTAGTTACCACTTTTGAGATGCTAAAGGCCAGTTAATGTGTCATAATAATGTAGGCCAGGCGATAAAATATGAATGCGGAGCGTGAAAACATGTAGTCATTAATAAATGAGAAGTTTGTTTATGTCTTAAAAGGGCTCATTACAGGCTTGAGGTTTCAGCCACTCAAGTGTATGGCTTATAAGCGCTCCAGATATCAGCTTTTGCGTTTTACAGTAGTGTGTTAAGTCATTTACTAGGGCAGGGCGCTAAAGTATTGTTTTTAAGCCTATATTGATTCAATATATCTCCATTTATGTATTTCCTCTGAAAGTACTTAAGATGGTGTTTTTTTTGGGATGTTTAATAAAACAATTTGACAATATTTAGGCCTAGTAGTTTTATTTTTTATGTACCAATATAACACTTGCATGGTAATAAACAGCAATATTTACGTTTGTACACTACAGTTCTAAAGTTTGGGCTCAGTAAGATTTTTTATATTTTTTTAAAGTCTCTTATGCTCATTAAGGCTGCATTTATTTGATTAAAAATGCAGTAAAAACAGGGATATTGTGAAATACTATTACAATTCAAAAGAACTTTTCTATTCAAATATATTTTAGAATGTAATTTATTCCTGTGATGCAAAGCTGAATTTTCAGTAGGGCTGCACGATAAATCGCATGCAATTGTCATGCGCATCTCGTCAGTAAAGCCGGTTCTGTGATTAGTAGTAAATCTCCATCACGTGCGTTCAGATGGAGCGGCGATTAGGCGATTCATCTGCGATTATGAACGCGATATTGCATAGCTTGTCAGTGAACTACGGCTCTGTGTAGTAAATGCTGCTCCATCTGAATGCACGTAATAGAGATTTACTACTAATCACAGAACCGGCTTTACTGACGAGATGCGCATGACAATTGCATGCGATTTATCGTGCAGCCCTAATTTTCAGCATCATTACTCCAGTCTTCAGTGTCACATGATGCCGGTTTCACACCACACGTGTAAGCAGGGCGTAAGCAGCACATATTTTTTTCGGCACCCATGTTAACAGATTAGAGAATTCACAACGTGCGCAGAGGCGGCGCAGGAGCAGAGCAGTGCTGCAATCGTTTCGGTGCCGAGTCTATTTTTGCTGCACCGCTTAAGCTGGATTAAAGCCACAGTGCTTTGTTCTTGATCAAAATTGACCTGATTAACATGAAAAATAACAATTTCACCATAAAATCATGTGAGGTGTTTATGTTTCACAATCACGGGTAAAAGGCACACAGTATTGATAAATATTTTAGATAAAATAATGTTTGTTTTTTTTAAATAATGTCTAAGTTAATAGTTGTTCAAAACAACCACTTTAGCAAAGTTTGTACTAGTCTATTTTCTGCTTATTTTGATAATGTCAATAAATATACTGTCATTAAAATGTTAATATAAAATATATTTTAAAATACAGAAACAAAATGAAAAGTAAAGGTTCTGAAAGCATTGAAGGAGATCCCATGATAATTTAATATAGATTTACAGTAGTAACAAATTAAATTTTATTATATGTTATGATTAATATCATGTTTTTAAATATGATGGTTTCATTCTAAACATGGTGATTGTCTAAGGTGGACACCCAACATAATGTATGATATGTATCATCTGAATCTAACCATGTCATGTCAACAAATGGAAAAGCCATCTATTAATTATCATGTTAATTATTGTGCCTTTAGCCCCAAAAGCAGGGGCGCTTTTTACCACAAATACCATACTTTTACATATTCTTCTCGTTATTGAAAATCTGTTGCTTTAATTATCTTAAACCAAACTGGGAATCATTAAGAAGACCTTTGTTTCAAAATATATTCAACAATTTTAGCGATTCTCATTTGCTACTTAAATCTACAACATTTAAAAAAAAAAAACATCAAATATTAGTTAGCACAGAATCAACTACACGAAAACACATCACTGCCAGGAGTTATTGCCCAAACTTCAAAGGCCTGTTTAAATGATTAAAACTAGAGGCATTTATTAACTTAAAGATTACTTTTTATCATGTAAACTATATGTACAGCATGTTATATGCAACACGTGACAGAGGGGAACACGGCCGCATCATGCTGCCCATATCAAAGCACATGACAGACAGTTGTCGGAGAACACCTGAAAAGCATGACCGAATGAACGTTACTCGTCTGTATTTGCAGTACACAATTATTTTGGATGTATATCAGGTACAGTACAGGCCAAATTTTCTAAAGGAAAAAAAATCTCTCAACTAATGCTGTAAAATATACATGAGAGTCAGTTGGTACTACATTACTATATTGAAGGTTAAAATTAACTGATTTGTTAAAATTTCACTTAATGAAGTTTTTAAAATAATAAAGTTACAATTGCATAATATTTCTACTTCAATTTTTAAAAATTTTTTTTTTTATATGAACATAATGGTGGCTGTCATAAAAACTTGATGGATTTATTCAAACATAAATTAAACATTGAAGAACAGTAAAAACGCGATCGACCCGAGTTCGAATCTGCCTTTTGCCTAACTTTTTTTCTCTCCCTTTTCAAATCTCATATCGCATCAGAAAGGCATTTATTCTCAATAAAAATTAAGGAAATAATAGAAAAGTTGAAAATAATGTATCGTGTAGGGTTAGGGTATGTGTAGGGAGGGCTTTATTGTCCCAATAAGGTGGAATCCATTTTTTTATTTGAATTAAAATTATAATTTACACTCAATATGTTATTATTGCATACTGTTTTATAATTTACTACAATAGTGAGATGCAGATAATTGCTACTATTTGAAATAAGTAGTATAAATAGCATTTTTTCATAGTGTAAATGGAATCTATAGCTAGCCTATTTGCACTTGGTGCCAATTCGATTCGATCCGATCCAATATCGATTATTTTGGGTATATATCAGGTACAGTCCATGCCAAATTTTCTCAAGGAAAAAAAATCTCTCAACTAATGCTGTAAAATATACATGAGAGTCAGTTGGTACTACATTACTATATTGAAGGTTAAAATTAACTGATTTGTTAAAATTTCACTTAATGAAGTTTTTAAAATAATAAAGTTACAATTGCATAATATTTCTACTTCAATTTTTAAAAATTTTTTTTTTTATATGAACATAATGGTGGCTGTCATTCCGGCGCGCCGTCGAACGCATCGGTCAAACAGAAAAACTTATCGGCCAATGCCGATATTTGAAAAATGCCTTGCCGATGTATCGGTTGACCACTATCTCTGACCCTCCATAGACAGCAATATTACAATTACAGTTTACAGTTACATAATAATATTTCTACTTCAATTAGTTTTTTAAAAATAGGCTATAAACATTTAAATGGTGGCGGTCATAAAAACTTGATGGATTTATTCAAACATAAATGAAACATTGAAGAACAGTTAAATTTATAATGAATATGTTATATGGTGCATATATTTCGCAAAATGCCCCTCTACAGTTTATTTTTCTAGCCGACTAACGAGTTTATAGTTACCGAATATGTTTTTCTGAGGTAAATGTGACGCACTCTTCAATGTTCCGTCCATTAACTGAAAACAGGCTAGACTAATCGATTCTTGGGATTTAAGAATCGATATCGTTCCGTAAAAATGAGAATCGATTAATATCCCAGCCCTATAAAATGGCATACCATAAACAGTGTTTCCCACTATTTGTGGCGGCATATATATGCAAATTCATTCTCTGCCAGCAGGAGGCGCTGTTGGAGTGGTAGAGCTCGAGGTTTCCCCGCTAGCGGCTGTACACAAAGCAGCGCTCAGCTCACAAATGCTGCTTTATCAGACATTACATGCAAGATGAAATGAAAATTACATCCAAAATTTTCTGAAGACAGTGGGATTCCTTCAGAAATACAGTGATATAAAAACACCCGCACCGGGTTTCGATTTTGAAATGTGCAGTGCTCATGTTTATTCAATGAAGTCAAAGACTTTTGGAAAATCTATTTGTGGCGGTCAGTTTTGATATTGTGGCGGGTGCCACAAATAAATCAATGTATGAGAAACACTGCCATAAATATGTAATGAGTATTCATATATCATCGCATAGCACTATTTATATTAGCAGTCCTGATATCAGCCCTGTCCATGTACCATAATGTGTCAGGTCACTCACTACAGGGGTGTCTGTGTCTGGTCCAGGACTGCAGAAAGCATGTTTGGGAACACTCCTATCTCCCCTGACCTGCACTCTGACTCTATGGGGCTGTGGTTGGGTGATAATGAGCCCTTGGAGGGGGTGCTAATTGATTCAGTCTCCCGAACTTGCTGCTCATTAACACCCTCTCCCAGGGCAGCACGGCAGTGCCCTCCTTTGGGATGCGATGGGCGGAGAATTGAGCAGGTGGTTGTGGAGAGACCTAAACTAAGGCCGGGATCGAGGTGGAAGGGCAGCGCGGGAGGTTAGCTTCAAATCCAGTTGCCTCACTTTCAGGACGAGATGGGTTTTAGCTTATGTGGGATTTGGATGGCCTTTGTTTTGCATATAAAGTTTTGAACTAAAGTCATCTTTATATTTTTTCCCCCCCCCCATTTTCTTACAGTATTCGGAGTGTCATGCAGAAGTACCTGGAGGAAAGGGATGAACTGACCTTTGACAAAATCTTCAACCAGAAGATTGGTGAGTTTTCCCAATCTTTCATGTCACCTTGAGCCAGTTTTGCATTGTCAGAAGCTCAGACATTTTTTCAGATTTGTAAAAATGTCATTATTGAGGATGCAAACAGAGTAATTCTTCGAATATGCTTCTAAAAAACACCACAGACCCTTGAGGAGGACATTTTAATCACCATGAAGTTAAATAAGGATCTTGTTCTTCCTTTTTTCTTATCTACTGAGTCAAAGACAGCTCTTTGTTTTTTGTAACCACTGGCCGTTATGTCTGCATTTCTCTATTAGTCACCTGAACAGTTAAACTCTTTGTCAGACAGCGTGTTGTGCAAATGCTCTTGTGTTGTGGTGTGATGAATGCATATGCCCAAATAACCTCAGGTACCTAAGTGAAAGCATGATTTTTTTTTCCACTTGGTGCTTTTGGAGAAAAGGCGTTTGCTGTAATGTGTGAAGTGCGAGCTGTGAAGGCACCATGGGAACACGGCAGCCAGCCCCAGATTTTGATTAACTTTAATTTTTACTTACTTCTGTGTCTGAAGTCCCATGTGAGGATCTGCTTCAGTGGTTTCTCTCTCTCTCTACTTTTTTTTTTATATACACATTGCCTCCATGCATTATACAATAACATGCTGATAGTGCCTTGTTATGGTAGCTGAGATTCTTATCACCAGTTTTGACCAACAAAATGGTTAGATGTGTTAAAACAGGGTTTCCCCACCTGGGTTTTGAGAGTTGATGGAAAAACTAATAATTAAAGGAATATTTCTCCCAAAAATTTAAATTTGCTGAAAAAGTGCTCAACCTCAGGCCGTCCAGTGTAGAAGAGTTTGTTTCTTGATCAGAACAGATTTGGAGAAATTTAGCATTACATCATTTGCTCAGCAATGGATCCTCTGCAGTGAATGGGTGCCGTCAGAATGAGAGTCCAAACAGCTGATAAAAACATCACAATAATCCACAAGTAATCCACACTCCTGTCCATCAGTTAACATCTTGTGAAGTGAAAAGCTGTGTTTGTTAGTAACAAATCCATCATTTCTCCAAATCTGTTCTGATGAAGAAACATATCCATCTTAAATGGCCTGAGGGTTAATACGTTTTCAATGTTGGGTGTTTCAAAAAGGCGGGGCATAGAGGAGAAACAATAATGTACAGTATGTGGAAAATAATGTATTTTTTTAACTTTAAACCGCATAAACACATTTCATTACACCAAATACACAAAATAATGTTCTTTTTAGCAGCATCATATGACCCCTTTAAATCATAAAAATGTAAAATAAGAAGAAATAAAACATTTTATTTGTTTATCTGCATGTAATTTGACCATTAACAGACATCAAAAAAACAGTGAACATGTAAATGTGTTAAATTATTAAATTATCTCTGTGGTAGAAGATGGAAATGGACCAGATTTCTGTTAATAGTTTGTCTTTGGACGTTCTTAGGGTGCTTTCACACTTGGTTCGATTGCCTGGTCCAAACCCGAGTTCAGTTGCTCCCCTGCCCCGCTGGACTGTGTTCATATTGTTTTATTTGGCTCCAAACCGTGGTTCGTTTGCATAATCAAGCCAGCAGCTGTTTACCCCGTTGCTTAGTAACTACAGGGCAGGAGAAGGCGGCAAAATGCATAGCATTGCTTTCATCACTTTTATATTTATGTTTTTGAACCATTGGTTTTGTTTCCAAATGCTCTAAAGAATGCTGAAGGTGAACAGAAATGAGATATACAGCTCTCTGCTTGCAGCAGGTCAGTCACGCTCATCAGGAAAGTGAGTGAAACACACACACAATCTAGTGCTGGGCGGTATACAGGTTCATACCGAATACCGGTGTTTATTTTTGTTATGATATGAATTTTTAAAATACCGCAATACCGGTGCATGTCGTTAAAACAACGTTCGGAACGCGACACTGTTTGAGAGGGGTTCCTTTTCACTGTCGCACTGTGGTGAGGGAACAGCTGTATGTGTTAGCAAGCGTGAATGTTCCGAAACTGAAGCTGTAGAACTAATAGAACGTGATGACACAGAAGAACTCATCCACAATATCCACATTGACCGCCACAAATATCCACCGCCCCCTGCCATCAGCTCCCGCGTCTCACACACATTACTCCGTTTGCAGTGCGTATGTGGTGCGCATTTTTTCCGCGCTCATGTTAACGGATTAAAGCGTTCACTGCACACGGTTGCTGTCCGGTAGTGAGTCCAGTAGCGGTGCGTCTGCAGCAGTGCAGAGATCGTTTCCACACCAAGTCTACTACTGCGCTGCAAGTAGAGGTCTGCATTCCCCGCAGCTCTCCCACGGGAACCGTGGGACCCGATCGGATTTTTTGCGCCGCGGGATTAAATTCCCGAATTAAACGCGGTAGCAGTCGGTAAGTCTGGTGTAATTGGAACGGGAGCGGGTGGTCTAACAATATCCCATTCCCGACGTCCATTTAGAACAGCATATCTGCGCTTTATTCTTATTGACCACCGGTACAGCTTGCGCTCAGGACTGTTATGCACGCGCTGCACGCATGCTTTAACGTCACGCGTTTATTTGCGGGGTCTGTGCATAACGATGCTCAGAGCAGGCTGTACCTGTGGTAAATATACGGCCCTCAGACAGAACAAGCAGGTTGTCGATGAGTGACAGAGCAGAATAAGGATGGAGCAAAGTGTGGATGCGCTGTCCTTGAAGGACGTTTAACTTTTGTTTATATTTATCTAGTTATAAATCTAGAAGTAAATGCAAAAGTAAAAAGCATTAAATAATGGGATAAAAAGTAGGCTTTAAAAAGATCGGTATCGGTAGATACTGCTTTCTGTGATCGGCGATCGGCCTCAAAAATCCTGATCGGAGCACCCCTAATTAACAGTGGTTCACGTCTGTGATTTGGTATGATTGCGTTTATATCAGCGGCAAACCGTACTGGAGTTCACATGAAACCGTACCCCAGACAACCCCTTTTAAGCACACTTGGATACGGTTTGCGGGTGCGCACCCAAGTTCGGAAGACAGCGTTGACATCTTCCAAACGTACCGAACTCTGACGTCAATCGAACCCGGGTGCGCACCAAAACTGCTAGTGTGAAAGCACCCTTGGAGTAGTTGTAGGCCATTGTGCACTGAAATACCTAGATCACTGTTTAAAGACCCTGTAATACAGGTCTTTTATTGATCTCATATAAGTATGGGTGCTGTGATTAGATAGTGAAGGAAAAGCAGTCGACAAGTGTCTTATGTGCATATGAACTCCCCCTGTAAGGTTTGAAAAGCATCCCAAGATGCACCTCTCATAGTTAAGAATCTATTTGAAAATGTAGAAAATTGTAGTAAGTGGTCATATTTATGTATTCTTATTTGTTTTCATAAGCTGTATGTTTTATATTGTCAGTGTTGTTACAAAAGTGTTACTGTAGTATATGATGAGTCACTATCACAAACTGTTATTTATGTACATATAAATAAGTGGCTTATTTGAGTGGGAAACCTGTTCTTAATCTTAACAGGGAAACCAAGCTGCTATGCATGTGACATGTTGATGGGTCTAAACAACAAGTACATTAATTAAGTGAAAGAAGGATTTTCACTAATGCAAATAGCTGAAGTAGCTTGTAAATATTCCAGGTCCTCTCTAAAGAGAGATGCGAAGCAGGAAACTGAAGTTCGCTGCTGCGTTCCGCTAGTTCACATGCTGAATTTGAATGACAAATGTCTCGGTTTTGCATCTGACCAGTGGAAGGAGATAATGACTCGGAGGCTGGTTGCATAATCAGACGCTTCCCTTCTGTCTTTGTCTTTTAACCCTTGTTGCTGTGGCATTTCGTGTTTATTTGATGAACTAAATAATGTTGCACAATGTAACGATATACATTACTGCTGGGCTTTTCTGGGCCAGTTCTTTTAGGTTGTGATAGCTGCGACCTAATGATCTATTTTTGTTCTTGACGTGCATGTGATCATAATGTCCTGAAATAGGGATGCTCATTTTAACCGGTTAACCGACCATAAGAATTTTGACCAATTAATACAATCAGTTAAATGGTTTAAAAAGTCATTTATTTATTTATTTTCAGTAATTTATCAAAATATTTAGAAAGGTTTGCTGTATGTTAGGCCTGGGCGATAAAACGGTATCGGTATTTATCGACGGTACAGCTTCATCGATAACGATAGAAAAAATGTTCGAGATAGCGCACGATATAGGCGCGTGCTATGAGTGACAAGCAGACAGCACACACGAACACATGCTGAGTGCTGAGCCTGCCTGTGATGAGGAGATTGTGAATAAAAAAATAATATTAGTCGAATTTAAGATAAAAATTTGCATTTGAATGCAAAAACGGTGCAATTGAATGTTTGGTATGCGTCGGTGAGGGAGCCTCATCAGAGGTGCACGAGATGTGGTGATGATGATGTAAGTGTCTTTGTCGTACTTTATTGTTTTTGTTAGTCTGTCCAGTTGAACCCACAAGACGCGCCGCTGCTGTGCTATTCAAAATATTAGAGAAATATAGAAGCTCAATGCGGAGAAGTTGCACAGTCAAAAATTTAGGAGCACCAAAATTTGATCAAAAAATAGCCTTCCCATTACGAGGTGATATTTGACTCCTTAAAGTGATTTACAGTAGAATTTTGTTTTTACCTTTGTAATGGCATTTTTCTATCTTTAATAAAAGTATGTCATCTTTTATGTCAAATTTTTAAAACATTTATTTTATAAGCTTTTTAAAAATTCTAGATAAAACCATAGAATAAGAACAAGTAGAATAAGAAACATAAGTTACAGAAGTGGAATGAGTGCTATTAAATCCATAAATTCATGATGATATTAATGTATGTTTTAAAAAATGTTGAATATAGAAATATTAAATGATTTAAAGAGTTGAAAAGATACTTTAAAAATTAACGGCTGCATCATTCAGGAATGAAGCAAGTGACAGTATTTATGAATGGGTAATCATGAATCACTGACTCACTAGATTCGTTTAAAAACGCAGTTCATTCATAAACGAA